ACCTAAATTTTTTTTTTTTTATTAGAAAAATGCCATATTTATTCCTATTGTCACTCATTATTTTTAAACACGTAAATGAAGTCTCATGGAAAGAGCAGAAAAATTTCTAGTTCCTAAATCCCAAAGATTACTGTCTGTTCAGAATTTGAAAGTAGAGTCTCTACCAGGCTGACAGTGGAGATTACTGCACGTATTGCATCTAAGAGCCCTCACCCTCTCAGCCCACCCCACTTAAATTTCTCATTCACTTTGTCAAAATTTTTGCTTTGGAACAACTTGAGTTCTTATTTCTAGTGTATTTCTCTAATCCGTCACCTTCAAGACAGCATTTTAAACTTCTTGTTGGGCACATGCACACAAACATCTAACAAACTTTGTCTCCCGTATCTGCTGCATCCTGGTGCTCTCCTTGGCTCATTGTCAGGTGTCAGCAGCCAGGGAAGAGGTTCCTGGTCGACGGGGTTTCCCAGGCTACATGTACACAGACTTAGCCACCATATATGAACGTGCTGGTCGAGTGGAAGGTAGAAACGGCTCTATCACTCAAATCCCTATTCTCACCATGCCCAACGATGGTAAGTTTCCATCTTCGATTGCTGAAGACTTAATCATTTTAAGGTTCATTTTTGGTTCTTGAGTGGTTGCCTTTATTTTTTAAACATTTACTATTTTTGTGCTTGTGCATGGTGGTAGTGCTTGTGTGTGGAGGTCAGAGGACAACTGGTGAGTGTAGATCCTCCCCTACTGTGGGTCCCAGGGATTGAACTTGGGTAGTCAGGCTTGGCAGCAAGCCTTCTCCCCAACCCCAGGGCTTTGATGCTGGAACAGTCTGCTTATTTGGAAGATTTTAGACCATCTGCCTGTTTAGAAGTTCTGAGAGCTTGTGACTGGGTTCACCTGAACTAGATATTGACACCTAAATAACACTTTCATTTGAAGATTACTCATAACTGTCTTTATCACCTATGTAAGAAAAGCAATTTTAAATATTCATTTATTTATGTACTGTTGACTATGTTGTTTTCAGAGCCCTGTTTACATATAAAGACTGTGATCTCTGTTTACCATAAGCTACTCAGCCTTCCTTGTTGTTCTTTAATGTATGTGCATCAGTCATTGAAATTATTGGTGTTGAATGCCCTGCAGTAAAGAGCCTAGGTAGTGAGGCCACAGACTGTGGAGACACTTTGAACTCAGTTCTTTAAAAAAGTAGCTTTCTACTGGGCATGGTGATGTACACCTTTAGTCCCAGCACTTCAGAGGCAGAGAGGCAGGCAGAGCTCTGAGTTCAAGGCCAGCCTGGTCTACATAGTGAGTTCCAGGACAGCCAGGGCTATACAGTGAGACCCTGTCTCCGAAAAACAAACAGAAGCACCAGTGCAGCATGGCTGACTGCACTCAGGGTGGGCTGCTCAGGTTTTCGTTTTGGTATTTTTTGAGACAGGTTCTCTGTAGCCCCAGCTGGCTTGGCACTTGCTCTGCAGACCAGGCTGGCCTGGAACTCAGAGATCTGCCTGGCCAGGACAGCCAGGGCTATACAGTGAGACCCTGTCTCCGAGAAACAAACAGAAGCACCAGTGCAGCATGGCTGACTGCACTCAGGGTGGGCTGCTCAGGTTTTCGTTTTGGTATTTTTTGAGACAGGTTCTCTGTAGCCCCAGCTGGCTTGGCACTTGCTCTGCAGACCAGGCTGGCCTGGAACTCAGAGATCTGCCTGCCTCTGCCCATCACTACTCCCTGGTGCTGGGATTAAAGGCATGTGCTACCATGCCCAGCCTACAATCATATCTTTTTGTCCATATTTTGTTCCTTATTTTTTATATTTTTGGGGGGTGAGGGACTGGAGAGCTTCAGCACACTGGCTCCTTTTGCAGGGTCCTGGTTTGGTTCCCAGCACCCACATGGTATTTAACAACTGTCCATAACTCCAGTTCCAGGAGGTCTGACCTCTGGCCTCTGTGGGATTGTATGCACATGATGTACTTACATACAGAGAAAACACTCATACACATAAAACAAACAAAAAATTTAAAAAATAATTGTTTTTAAAAATTTTTGCTTTTGAAAACTTTATGTATGAGTGCTTTGCCTGCATTTATGTAAGTGCACTGTGTATGTGTGAATGTGTGAAGCACATGGAAGCCAGAAGAAGGTGTGAGATCCCCTGAAACTAGAGTTAGGGACAATTGTGAGCTGCCATGTGCTGGGGACTGAACCCGGGTCCACTATAAGAGCAGCTATTGCTCTTAACCACTGAGCCATCTCTCCAGCCCATATTTTGTTTTTAAAAAAACACTTTTATAAGATGTTTTTTGATTTTTTTTTTTTTTTTTTTTTTTTTAGCAAAGTCTTACTATGTAGCCCTGGTTGGACTGGAACTTGCTGTATAGACCAGATTGGTCTTGACTGCACAGAGATTCTCCTGCGTCTACCTCTACCTCCTGGGTACTGGGATTAAAGGCATGTGCTATCAGACCTGGCCCTACAAGATATTTAAAAAGAACCCATTATAGGGGCTGGAGAAATGGCTCAGTGGTTAAGAACACTGATTATTCTTGCAGAAGACCCAGGTTTGAATCCCAGCACCCACATGGCAGCTAACAACTCTCCATAACTCTAGTCCTAAGGGATCCGACAGCCTCTTCTGACCTTCTCGGGCATTGCACAACACGGGTGCACTTACCTACATGCAGGCAATACATGCATATACATAAAATAAAATTTTTTTTAAAAAAAGAACCCATTATATATAACTGAGCACTGTTCTGAATGCTTTATCAGTGCTTGTTTGCTCCTTGTCATGATGTCACGGCAGGCATTAAAACTGAGGTACAGAGAGGTTGAGTGATTTGGCAGGGTGAGGAGGTGGTAGATTTACAGCTCAGAGTGTCTGGATGGTAACACGTACCAGCAGTCATGCTGCTGTGCCTATGACATGGCAGTGATGTGTTCCAGAAGAGTAACCCCAAGGTTGCCTTCCGCAGTTTCATAGGTTTAGAAACAGTGCTTCATGAACAGGGCCGTGCTGTGTAGCTGGTATTTTCATAGGACCTTGTACCTTAAATGGGACGTCATGTTTTGGGGAGAAAGCACATAAGTAGGAGCAAGTACACCCTGTTTTATTTCGTAATGCCAACATGTCTAAAATGTTGTAACCAAACAAATGAAATGGTCTTTTAATACAGTAACTACCAGGCACATTGGGGGACTTTAAGTTCAAGGTAATTAAAATCTAATTTGAAATCGGTCCCTTCAGTTTCAGTAGACACATGTCAGGTGTTCAGTAGCCACAGTTGCCTAGTGACTACCTATTCTAGTTCATTTCTGTTGCTGTGGTAGAATACCCTGACGAAATAAAAAACAAAACATAGAGGAGAAGGTTTATTTCAGCTTATAACATCAGGTTACAGCCCATCATGTTGGGGAAGTCAGGGCAGGAACCTCAATCAGCCAATCACTTCACGTCCATAGTCGAGAGCAGAGAGAGATAAATGCACACATGCTTGCTTGTGCTCAGGTCCATTTCTCCACTATCACACAGTTCAGGACTCCCTGTGTAGGGAATGGTGCCACCCAGAGTGGGTTGTGTCTTCCCACATCAGTTAATCTAGTTAAGAGAAATCCCCACAGACACGGCCACAGGCCAACCCAATATAGACAGTCCCTGTTGAGATTCTACCCAGGTGATTCTGGGTTGTGGCAAGTTGACAGTTAAAGCTAGCTATCACCCACCATATTAGACAGCACAGGTACATCATCGCAGAAAATTACCCTGTTGTAGCTCTTATAGATAGAGCTATAGGTAATAGAGATTGGCTTCCTGTGGGATTGGTTATGTGAGATGACCACATGCTTATGTTTTATGTCTTCCTTTGATAGATATCACTCACCCCATCCCTGACTTGACTGGGTATATTACTGAGGGGCAGATCTACGTGGACAGACAGCTGTACAACAGACAGGTATTGATGCTTACATGGTGCTGTGAAGCTGGAAGCCCCTCATCACTCTATGATGATTTGCTCTTTGGAACTATTTTGCTTAGAAAGTATCAGCTTGAAGTGTTTTTAATATGACTGTAAAAGTGTCATTTCTGTAACTAAAATGTGGGTGTGGGCCAAGTGTCAGAAATGTTTTATGGTATAATCTGCCAATATTGTTACTAGTAAAAAAAGGTTTTTACTTGTTTCATGAGAAATACTGGCTTCTAAAATCGCTTTTGGGTGGAATTGCTATTTTTATTTTGTATATAACTGTTCTGAGTCAAGGTGCAGAAGATTGTTTAGGTAGATGCTGTGGTAGCACAACATGTGGAAACTAGCTTTCCAAAACCATGCTGTGCTGCTCTGTACATCTCACTGGGTTTCATTCTCCGATTCCATGTTGTGTTTCTTTCTGCCATTTCTTCCCTTAGAAGATATTAGACCTCATCTAAGAAACAAATGCAGCAGATCTGTGTGCATTAGTGAGTTTTAATGCCTCTGTACTACAGTAAAGCTTGGATCTTACTTCAACATAGTTATTTTTTCCTTCCTGCTGTTCCCAAGATTTACCCGCCCATTAATGTGTTGCCATCACTCTCACGGTTAATGAAGTCGGCTATTGGAGAAGGTATGACGAGGAAGGACCATGCCGACGTGTCTAACCAGCTGGTATGTGTGCTCTTCTGAGGGTGGGTGTGAGGGAATGCCTTTCTTGGACATTTGTTCTGCTTTTCTCTCCCTAACTGTCATCACCACTTTTTTTTCTTCCCATTCAAGTAGAATTCAGTGTAGGTTTGATATGGAATAGTAATTAATTTGAAACAAAGCAGCCTTTTAAAATAAGCATAGATGGTACTAATCAGGATTAATCAGGATTAAAGCTACCATGCTTGTGTGGTTATGTGGCATATACCTGTAATCCAGCACTCAGGAGGCTGAGGCAGAGGGACTAAAATTCAAGGTCAGCCTGGGCTTCAGAGTGCCATTGTCTCGAAAACCAGAGACGGTAACAACAACAAAACCTTACCAAACTTGAAACTTGTTTCTGATACTGTAAATGTAGTTTTTAGATTAAAAAAGGGGAAAGGGACTGGAGAGATGGGTCAGTGATTAAGAGCACTGGCTGCTCTTGCAGAGGCACTGGGAATGCTTCCCAGCACCCATATGGAGGCTAACAACTGTCCATAGCTCCAGTTCCAGGGGATTTGATGCCCTCTTCTGACTCCCGTGGGCATTGTATTACACAGGTACACTTACATACATGCAGGCAATACACTTAAACACCTACAATAAAAATAGTAAAAGTTTGTTTTTTTTTTTTTAATTTATAAAAGGGGGAGGAGGACTGGCATGATGGTGCACCAGGTAAAACAGGTAAAGACACGTCCACCAAGCCTGACAACCTTAGTTCAATCCCTGGGACCACATGGTAGAGGAGAGAACTAACTGATTCCTACAAGTTGTCCTCTGACCCCCCACATACATATCATGACATGTACATGTCTACACATCACAAGCATGCATACACTAAATAAATAGTATTAAAATTTTTTAATTGAAATTTTTCAAAAGCAATATGGTTATTTTAATAATTATATCATGTTCCCGAATTCATGCCCTAACATATTTCTTGCTTAACATATTAAACAATCAACAAATGCCGATGCTTACCATTTTCTGTATTTTATGAAGTCCTTCATTTCTATAGTCATAAGATTGTGCACTAAACAAACATACTGACCGTGAGATAGAAGTGGGAAGCCTGAGGAGGCACACGCATGAGGTGCGGCCTGGACAGAGGCTTCCCTGTGGTTTAACTGGGAGTTCTGTTTATTGGTGTACTGAGAAAGCACATTTTTTTACAAAGTGTTAGTAATGCCTGTACATTGCATGCCTGGCGGCCTCCCTCTGAAGAGGAGTATAATAAATACTTTAATCTTGGTGGGAGGTGTGTGAGAGTTGTGTTCTCTTGTGACGAGAGCCACAGTAGCATGGTTCTGTATCTTGGACTCTTTACGTGAGCCTTCTTCCTCCTCAGTACGCGTGCTATGCCATCGGTAAAGATGTACAAGCCATGAAAGCTGTGGTGGGAGAAGAAGCGCTGACCTCGGATGATCTCCTTTACTTGGAATTTCTGCAGAAGTTTGAGAAAAACTTCATTACTCAGGGTAAGTTGACTTTTCCTCCAGACACGAACTTTGTCATAGTTTTAAGCCCTCCTTGCAAGTCTGAGGGGATTGACCACGGTCTCTGCTGCTTTTCCCTCTGCTGCCTTTGCCCCATCCTGCGGCTCCTCCCCTGCCTTCACAATATCCTGGGGAACCCTAAGTTGATCATCCAGTTTCTTAGCTGCCTTGGTGTTTCATGCCCCTCTTCTGGGCCTCTCTTCTCTGGCCTGCAGTTTCCACACACACCCCTCTCTACTTAAGCTTCTCAGCAGCCTCCTCCTCCTCCTCCTCCTCCTGAGGGCCTCATGACTTTCCTGATTCACTCATTTTTCCGTCCTTTGACTCTTAACTCTCCCTGCTCCTTGGCTGTTAACATTGCACAAATCCTTCCTAAGCAGTGACTATCACCCTGCTGTGGACCCTGACTCACTGTGTGTGATCCTTCCCCTCCTTGATTATCCCTGGGAGGACTCAGTAGGCCAGAACCAAAGTTTTTTCCCAGATGACCTCCTTCTTGCCTCGCAACACTCCAATCAAATTCTGTCTACAACTACCAGGGTCACTTTCTCAGCTAACCTGTCTCAGTTGCTGGACAACATTGAATTTTTTTTGTTTTGTTTTTTTTGTTTTGTTTTGTTTTGTTTTGTTTTGTTTGAGCCAGGGTCTCCCTGTAGCCCCAGCTGTCCTGGAACTCACTATGTAGACCAGGCTGGCCTTGAACTCACAGAGATCCGCCTGCCTCTGCCTCCTGAGTGCTGGGATTAAAGGTGAGTGCCACCACACCTGGCTGACAACATTGAATTTTTAAAAGTATTTTATTATTATTATTATTTTATATCTATGAGTGTTTTGCTGGCATGGATGTAAGTGTACCTGTGTCGTGCAAAGCCTGCAGAGGCCAGAAGAGGGTGTCAGAGCCCATGGAACTGGAGTTAACGGATGGTTGTTAGCTGCCATATGGGTGCTAGGAGTCAAACCCCAGTGCTCTTAACTGCTGAGCCATCTCTCCAGCCCCTAATTCTTTTGATTTTTGAGAATTTCATACATGCATACAATGACATATCATATATTCCCTCTTTTTTTCTCCCCTCCCCAACTTCCCCCATATCCTCTCCTGTATGACCCATCCCCCAATTTTTTTTTTTTTTTTTTTTTTTTTTGATGACGCACTGACTCCAGTGAGAGGCTGGACAGCATTCTTAACCATCCTAATTCTCCAGTGCTGAGCTGTTCGCTCATTCTGGGTCTTTACATTTTCTTCCCCTATTATTTTTGTGTTCTCACCACAGTCACTTTCAAACTTTGATTTGCTTTTGAATCAGCTGTGGAAGCACTTTGTTCTTCTTCAGTAATGGTGTGGCTGGAATTTGTGCACGGCACAGAGCTTCCTAGGCAGTGAAGCTGCTGGTTTCTCATCACAGAGTCTTGAGGCCCCTGATTAGTTTAAAGCCTTGTCTCTCATTCACAGCTCCAGGATAACTACCAATAGTCTCAATAGTCCTCATTGTATGTTTTCAGATTGTTTTGCTTGGTCTCTGCTGAGGCTAGAAATAGTCCATCCTGGACTTCTGGCAGTTACAATGGGTGTGCTATTTGGAGCAGTGCCTTAAGTGATGCACTTGGTATTTGTTATTTTTTAACTTACACTTCATTAGAAATCACTCAAATCTACATGATGGTTGTTTGAGTGCTAGGCCAGAGCCAACACATGCTGGGCAAGTGCTTTTAAGCACTGAGGTACATCCTCAGTCTGGTTAGAGTTTGTTTTTTGTTTTATTTTTGTTTTGTTTTGTTTTATTTTGATTCAGAACCTCAATACCTCAAGTGGTAAAGTTGTCCAAATAAGTCACTCTTGATCCCGTGATGGTGGTGGGGATTCTGGTATTAAATATAATAATTTGGTTGGCCTATAATTTCAGCATTTAAGAGGTGTAGTTTGAAGCCAGCCTGGGCCACACATTCAGACCCTGTCTCAAAATAAATAACAGTTTTAAAACCACTGACGTGTGGTCTGTTCTGTTTCATTGGGATTTAAGGGTTTCTCAGTGTCTCTGCTAGTTCCCCACAAACCCAGCCTTTTTTCTTCTGTGAGCCCTGTGTTCTGGAGTCTGCTTTTCTGACTAATCTTTGAGTAAAACACTGGATCTGGTCTCCATTGTTCAAGGTTCTTACTTGCACATCAAAGTCTAGCTCAACTCCTCACCCCAACGACATACACTGGGCTGTTAGACTGCCACTGTCTCTAGCCCATGAGCCCCTTCCTTCCCTCTAACTCCCTGTGTACTTTATATACCCCCATTTCTACACCCAGTCTCCGGAGCCCTGACCAAGGTTTTCTTGTATTTTATGCCCATGCTATGTGCTAGTCCACAGGACAGAATAAATGCTAAATAACACTGATCCTTTGGAAGCACTTTGCCATTAATTCCTTCTCGATTTTTTAGGTCCTTATGAAAACCGCACAGTCTATGAGACTTTGGACATTGGTTGGCAGCTGCTCCGAATCTTCCCCAAAGAAATGCTGAAGAGAATCCCTCAAAGCACTCTGAGTGAATTTTACCCTCGAGACTCTGCGAAACACTAGCTACTGCTGCTTCTGTGGTGTGATCCTCTTGTGAAGTACTGGTTCTGTCCTGATTCCTTCTGCACTCCTCCATCCCCACGTTTGTGTGGAGTTTACCTGTCACCCTGTAATTGAAAACAAACGATCGGTAACATTGTGCCAGTGTTGCAATGTTTTAAACTGCTAACAGACTTTCAACTATCCCTGTTCAGAAAAATCTGATCTCCAGTGCTTTGTTTAAAGTCGGTGCAGGGATGGAGGTGGCATTTTCTTACTGATGTATGTATTGTACATAGTGAATGACTAGTTGCCTAATAATGTCTTGCTGGGTCTTCCAGACCTTACCTCTCAACTCCCTCAAGATCACTGTTTTGAAGTTCAAATGCTTTATTCTCACATTTAGGGGCAAGGTCTGGTCTGGAAGAATTCTTTCAGATGAACCATCTTCAGCGCATTCCTGAGCTTCTTGTCTGGGTGTTGGTGTTCCCGTGGGTCTGTCCTCTGCTCTAATAGGTGGGACAGCTTTGTGCTTTCCTGTGAAAGGAGTAGATTTGCAAGAGGAGTTTCCTTAAGTACTATGAGTTGGGATTCCTATGGAGCATCTTTCTGAGTACCACACAGAATCATGCAACTTTGCATGGCTGGCACTCACCTGACAGTGGTGTGATGTCTTGTCCTGGTGATCCTCATGGTTTCCCCGCAGAGAGGTCAAGAGTTCAAGTCATTAGAAGTGGGACTGGGAAAGAGTTGGGATACAAGTAAGGGAGAAAAACCCTATGTCCAGTCTGCTTTCTGATGTGCTTGCAGTGGTTTAAGTTTCTAAAGAGCCTCCCAGATCCTGAGTGGGGTGGGGAAGACCTGCTCTTACGTGTGTGGGTATTTTAAACTTTGTTCTAGTGCAGCCTTTGGTTCCCTGAGCTTTCTGCCCCAGCACTGCCTTCAAGGTGATCGCGTGCACGAGTGGCGGCATTTCTTCCTTCCTGCTCCTTCCTGGCGTGAGTCCTGAGCTGTCTCCTGTATACCTCTGCCGCGTCTGCTCTTAGGTCTCCATGTTGTGTGCTGCTCCGGTGCTGTAGCACCTTCCCTACTCTGTGCATTCCTTCTTTCCAGTTTTTCTCTGAGGGGATTGGGGGGTCCGGCATGATTATATTTTAATGTAGAAAATGTGACATCTGGATATAAATAAAAATAAATGTTAAATTAAATGGAAATTACCTGAAATGACTCTATCATCTCATCAGAATAGCAACCATGGGAAAACAAAATGGGTAATGGCCTCCTCGTGGCTGTGACCCTCATAGATAGCTTGTGGACCAGTCCCGTGTTACACCCCTCTGTCTCACAACTGCCTATTCACTTACAGCTTTCTCAGTGATAGCTCTTAAAGCAAACTGTAGTGGGATCCCCAGGTGACAGTTCCCACAGATGCTCACTAGCACTCTGTTGGAAACATCTTCTGGACCTCTGGAACTTACTGCTGTGAATGGAAGGGAATGATGATAAATAGAAAAAAATACACCTCTAACAAGCTTAACCTTGCTTAAACAACCCGAAGAGGGTGCTGGTATACAAAAAAATCCAGTTCCAGCATGAGGCATCATGGAGGATGCCTGCTCTTGCTCCCCCTTTTCACCTCAAGGCAGCGTTCAGGAGATGGAGAGGGAAGAGCCCGGTCAGGGCATGAATGGCATAGACTTGAGTTGTTTCTGATTCCAACTATAACAGTATGGTCTGTATAATCATGTAAGAAATGTCAGGAAGCTTTATATTCCTTTAGGGTTAGAGTAAGCCTGGTCCCCAAGCACCCAACGGGCTGCGTTTGTTAGCACGCCCTTATCAAGACAGCTTTACCTTGGGACTCTTCCACAGTAGGTTGAGTAGCCTTCTGGCTAGTTTAAAGGTAGGGCAGCTAAATGACTCATTAAACATGTCTTGCTTACAGCTGACACTCACTTCAGTGTGAAGATTTCATGTAAATGAAAATCTGTGTGCAGATTAATGTCATATATACCTCACCAAGATGTTCCTTTTCAGCAAGAGTGGGTGGTTCAGAATGTCAGGTCAACAGAGCAGTCTGCCTTAGAACCTTCTGAGGCTGGACTGGGGGCAAGTGAGCTCAGTTCAGTAGTAGAGGCCAATAGGAGGACTGCGTGAAGAGCAGCACCACAAACTGGGTTTAGTAAGGACTGAGGCCTGAAGTCCTAGCAGGCAAGGGGGTCAGGAATTGAAGATCATCCCCAGCTACATAATGAGTTCAAGACCAGCTTTGGGGAGGGGGGCTAGAGAGATGGCTCAGAGGTTAGAGCACTTGCTGCTCTTGCAAAGGACCTGGGTTCAATTCCCAGCACCCACACAGTGACTCCATCTCCCTCTTCTGGCCTCTGTGGGCACTACATACACACCATATACATGCATACAGTTAAAACACTTAAACCCATAAAATTAAATCTTTCAAAGAAAGAATAATGAAGCAAGACATTCTTGAGGGAAATTTATCTTTTGCGTGGAAATGTAAAAATGAGGAAACAGTTCCCTGTTTTGTTTTTGTTTTTGTCTTTTTGAGACAGGGTCTCCCTGCAGCCTTAGCCGGCCTGGAACTCACTATGTAGACCAGGCTGGCCTTGATCTCACAGACATCTGCTTGCCTCTGCTTCCTGTGAGTGCTAGGATCAAAGGTGTGTGCCACCACACTGGACTTGTTTTTTTGTTTTGTTTTGTAATAAGACTAGCATGTTCCATACCTACAAAGTGGTTTTGTTTCAAAGCGTCTTTCTTTCCAGTTCAGGGTTGAAAACCTGCCTCATGCCCAGGGGAGCCACTGGAACTCCTCCTCCATGGCTATAAGGACCCCAGTGACTAATACTAGTTTGGGAACAGTGACAAATCCCTTCCAGTCACTCATCACAGAGCTCTGTGTCCTTACCAGGGTTTGTTTGCAAACACATGGGCAACCAGGAATTGTTGAGTCCTGCTCATCAGCAGATGCACTTCCTGTTACAGGGAAAGGAAACATCTGACCAACTGTCCCTGAGGCTGCAGATCTGGGCTTGGCTGGTCTGTAGCAGCCTGGGGGTGGCTAGCCTGGGTTGGAACATGCCTGTGGGCTCAGTGAGCCAGTTAAGTAACACACATGTCACAGCACTTTTCTCTTAAAGGATTTGACATGTCACAGCACTTTTAAAGGATTTTATTGCCAAACTGCCATAGCGTTTTGTAAGTTAATAAATTGGTTGCATTTCAAGGAGCAATGGCCCTGTAGTCAGTCCCATGTCAACAGATTTTCCCCCTTTTAATGAGTAGATAGGACTGGCAGAGCAAGTGGTGGAGGCTAGACCCTTAAATCTCATCCAGCATCCTTTCCATAGCACAGAGTCGACATCTAACAGTGTGGAAATGGTGCCTACAAGTTCCTAGCACTCTTAAGACACGGGTTTTTGTATTCTGCCTAACGTCTCAGAACCTTAGGCCATGTGACAGTGACTGCACACAAAGCCTGGCGCTGGAGTCACTAGCTGAAGTGCTCGCATCAGAGTTCAGCTTGGGATGAAGGTAAGAGGGAAGTTTGGAATGTGCAGACAAGAACTCAGAATGCATGCCCTTGCCTGAAGCTGTCCTCACGTCTGTAACCAACACTGGAGAGGCAGAGGGCACAGCTCTTTTTGCAGCCCTGGACAGTCAGTGGTTCACAGAACAGATGGTGCTTTCTGTAGAGCTCCATGTTCACCTGGGGCTCTAAAGGAGCATGCTCTTTTTAATTAAAAAGACTTTTTAAAGAAGGAGGCGGGCAAGCGGGCCAGGGAAATGATTCGGGGGTATAGAGGTACTTGTGTGTAGGCCTAATGACCTGAGTTCAATCCCTGGGCCCCATATGGTGGCAAAAGAATACTGACTCCTGAGAGTTTTCCATTGACACAAGGCCTACACACATACCAATTAATAAAAAGTAAGTAAAAAGACAAGCCAGGGTGCTGGAGAGATGGCTGAGTGGTTAAGAACACTGACTGCTCTTGCAGAGGACCCGGGTTCGATTCCCAGCACCCACATGGCAGCTACGAACCGTCGTTAACGCCAGTTCCAGGGGAATCTGAAGCCCTCTTCTGACCTCCGCAGCATTGCCTGACACTGGTGCACTCACATACATGGAGGCAATACGCTCATACACATAAAATCAAAATAATAAAATATTTAAAAAAAAGAAAGACAAGTCAAAATGAGTGTGGAGAGCCATAGACTAGACTCAGGAGATCTGTGTCAGAGAAGTCAAAGCTTGGGTCGAACTCTTGGTAATTAAGAGGCCTTTTAAGTGTCTAGGATGGTAGAGTCTGGCTTCTAGCAAAGACATCTCTTGGAATGCTTTTGCTACATCAAGGTAAAATGTACCTAGACCTCACATAGTGATGGTCTTGGCCTGCCACCAGGGCTGTCCAAGATGATCCTCCACCACGGTGGAGTTAGTGCAGCTCCTAAGTATTCAGTCTAAATATTTCTAGTTCCCTTAACTTTCCCTCACTTTGTGGATAAGAGAGAGTTTTACCTCTTCAGTCACTGAACAGGATTTGAACCCAGATCTTGCCTCACATAGGGATCTTGGTACATCTGGTCTTGGCTCTTTATGCGTGCTCTGGAAGGTGTGTGGGATGTAGAGACTCAGCCTCTGAGAATCTAGCCTTTCCCATGCAGGTAACTAGAAAGGCCATCCAAGTGTTGAATATGGCCTTGAGACCAACTCACTGAGGCCAGGGCTCTGATGGAAATTGAAGTTACTGGAAATGTCAGTGTGCTCTGGGCTAAGACCCTGAGAATCAAGCCTTTCCCATGCAGGTAACTAGAAAGGCCATGCAAGTGTTGAATATGGTCTTGAGACCAACTCACTGAGGCCAGGACTCTGATGGAAATTGAAGTTACTGGAAATGTCAGTGTGCTCTGGGCTAAGACCTTCTGTTCCCTGGTTCTATTGTGTTTTTCCCTAGGACCTGCCCTTCAGCAGCATTCAGGCATACAGCCCTAGCACTGGAGTAATTTCATTAATGGTTTACTGAACAGATATACATTGTGCAGACAAAACTGGCCAAGTGCAGGTAAGTACAAATAATCCATCTCCTACAATCCAAAGGAAACGGTCTTGTGTCATGGAGGATTGCTTAGCAGTCGTGGCTTTGTCCTGTCTTGTTAAATCAAAGCCCATAGCACTTCTATGGTTCTTCTGCAGACCATGTATGTGAGATGATAGGAGTGTCCAGACAAGATGTGTTTGCTGAGAGATGGCTCAGCAGTTAAGAGCACTGGCTGCTCTTGCAGAGGACCCAGGTTCAGTTCCCGGTATCCACATGGTGGCTGACAACCATCCATAATTCCAGTTCCAGGGGATCTGACACTCTCCTGGCCTCCGTGGTCATTGTACAACATGGGTGCTTTTATAATACATGTAGACAAAACACTCATTCACATAAAATAACAATCAGTTAATCAAAAAATCTTTAAAAATAGAAGCTTAAGCTATAAGCTTTAAATGCATACACGTCCTATGTGGTATCAGTGGTGTAATTTTGAAAAATAGCTCTTGTAACCAAAAAATAACAGAGTTCTTAGAACTGAGAATAGAGCTTAGTGGTAGAGAACTTTCCTAGTATGCATGAGGCCGTAGGTTCAATCCCCAGCACCACCAAAGGAAAAGTCCTTTTTTAATTTCATAAACTGGGAAGTGACCACAGTGTTATACACCTATTATCCCAGCACCCAGTAGGCTTAAGCATCTTAAGTTTAGGCCAGCCTTGGCTACATAGCAAGGCCTCCGTAGAGAAGCCGTGTAGATGTTTTTCTGGCAATACTGCTGTGGTGCTGGTTATCAGACCTGGGCTTTCATGTATGCTAGGCAAGCACACTACCACTGAGCCACACTTCCAGCCCCCTAGCAGTAATTCTTAAAAGCCCCTTCTTATGAGTCCACTGTTCATCTCCCTTACGGGTCCATTCAAGCCTCAGAGTAAGTACAAAAAGGAACCATTATTCATTGTGCCTTCTGGGCTTCCCATGTCACAGGGGAGGAGAAGGGAGTATCGTCAGAGCTTGGCTCTGAAACAAATCTGGACCCAGAGGGGTACAGCCAAGCTATTTTTTTTTAAACTAGGAACTAAATGAGAGAAGTTGTTCCCCAAGCAAAAGCAAAAGAGGTAGCTAACTAGGAAGAATTCTTTCCAACAGTTGCCATTCA